TTCACGGTCAGGGCGGCTAGGGTCTGGAACCAGCTTCCAAGTGAGGTGGTGCAGGCTCCCACCCTGGGGGTTTTTAAGAGGAGGTTGGATGACCACCTTACTGGGGTCGTTTGACCCCAGTGCTCTTCCTGCCATGGCAGGGGGTCGGACTAGATGATCTGCTCAGGTCCCTTCCGACCCTAGAAACTATGAAACTATGAAACACTCACTCTAGGAGTGGAAGAATCCATTTTCATTTTAAAAAGCAATTTTTTAAGACTCATTTCCTTCTATTGAGAAATCCAGTACTTTACAGGTGGTTATCTAAGCCATCAACAGGAGTATAGAGGCTAAAAGTCCCACAGGGAGAGAGTTGCATCTTAAGCACTGAAGGAAAGACAACTAAACAGTAAAGCTTGTAGATAGGAGAGAAATTCTGGAAGTGCAGCATCAGAACTTTTTAAAAAATGAATCACTTTTTATTTTGGAGTTCTCATTATTGTTCCGTTAGTTGTGAACTAAGTGGATATTACTGGGGAAAAAAAGCATGACAAAGAAGTTTTCCTTCAGGGCTCACTTTTCTTACTCTTCATGAGTTTCTTGCTGCTTTCTTGTTTGAGGATGAAAGAAAGAATGCACGGGAGATGGAAGCAATTGAAACTTAAAGAGCAGTCATTTTGTAGGATGATAGAGATACATCAAATGCAAAATACTGGAGGACTGGCAGAAAGGATTATTTGTTCCTATTCCAGTTTCTGGGATGGTAGGTCATGTAAGTTACTGTTTAGAACCAGAGGTGCACTTGAATCCCAGTGCTGACTCTGTAGGAGAGGATGCGCATTACCAATACTGGTGGTCTCTATTCCAAGTGATGTTTAAGGTATTCTTAGCTTCTAGTTACCACAGAAGAGTGGTATTCAGGTCTCTTATTTCTGTTTTATTCCATTTTATTATGAGCTGAATTCGTAATTGGGGGAGGGGGGTGGAGAAGAGATGAGAATAGCAAAAATTCATACAGTTGATCAAACAGTTCAGGTAAATAGTTTAGAGCTAATATGTAAAGGTGTCCAAAGACTAAAAAGGACTTTTCTGGGAACATGCAGGATGAGGCAAGTGCATAGAGAACTAGTGCTAAAAGCTCAGTGATATACCACACAGTTAATGACATAATAGTAATTGTACTGTCTGATGGGACATGGAAGTCTGTTGCCTGAAGACTAGGGTAACTGTGGTGCAGCTTCAAAGAAAAAGAACTAGTTGTGTTCCCACTGATGTTAATGACCAAGTTCCCCCAATTTCTGCCCTGCCTGTCCCCCACTTACTTGAGTTTTCCACTAAATAAGTCTATACAGATTGACTGATGTTGCTCTAACTTTAACTTTTTCTCTCTTTAACTGAGGACTGTTAATGGAGGCCTATTCACTAGGAAGATTTTTTCAAAGGCTGAAAAGTTTGTCAACTGGTGGTCATGGCAGTTTGTTGTTCATTTCAGCCATACACAACTTACATTTATTTTCCTTCTTGATTGTTTCAAATTAGTCTCAGATTACAGTCAAGCTGACTTAGCATGGCATCATTTTCAGTACATCAGGCAGAGATTTAGCCATGTGATGAATCCCCTTATCAATCTCAAAAAGTGTCCCTAGGCGTCTCAGCCCATGGAATACAAAAGCACCTCATATCTCAGGCATAATGATGATATGGCATATTTACATGCAACTCTCAATTGCTCCACATTTATTAATTATGAAGCAATCAGGCAACTACTTGAAAGCAATGTATTAAATCTGTGGTATCTTAATTTATTTATTTCATTTGGAATTTGAGGAGAAGCCATGTAAAGGGAAAGGCTTCAACTGGCCATTAGGCCTGTGTGAAGTGGCTAATATTCACTTTGGATTTGGATTCGGACAATTCAGGGGACAGAGATTCAATTTGGTGATTTGAATCACTGTTTTGATTTGATTTGGCTGAATCCAATTCAGAGATTCAGCTGCTGCCAAATCTACGAATCTCCGAATCAGCCAGGTCAGGCCCAAACCCCGCCCCTCTCCCAGCTCGGCAATGGCTGCCCTGCCTGCCCCAGCTCCCAGCTCTTTAGAAAAAAAACTCACCGGGTGCTGCCGGGGGGACAACTCACCACTGGCCCCCACTGCCCAATGCTGTGTGGGGCTCTGCATGAGCCCCCTGACCTCCCTCCTCACTCCCCTGGTTCCCCCATGGGTGCCCCGCCCAAGTCAGCTCCAGCCCTTTAAGAAAAAAAAACCCCACGAAAAACCCCCAGACTCACCACTCCTGCTGGTGGGGGGTGATCCCCACTGCCCCTCACTGCCTCATGCCATGTGGGGGGCTCTGCATGAGCCTCCCAAAGCCCCAAGGCCACACCAGGAGTAGTGAGTCTGGGGCTTTTCTCAGTTTTTTTTTTTTCTTAAAGGGATGGAGCTGGCCCAGGTGGGGCACCCATGGCGGTGCCGGAGGAGCGAGGGAGGGGGCTTGTGGCAGAGCCTCCCATTCAGTGTGGGGCAGTGGAGGGCAGTGGGGATTGCTCCCCACCTGGCAGCACCCAGTGAGCACTAAGGCTTCTTTTTAAAGTACTGAGTTGAGGCAGGCAGAGCAGCCATGTTGGGCCTGAGGGAGTGGGGGGGCCAAGAGGGCTGGCAGAGGTCTCCCCATGGTTCCCTCATCCCTCCCCCAGACCCCCCTCCCCCACCCCTAGTACTTAACAACTCAGTCAGCTGCAGCTCCCTGCTGCAGCCCCCGGGGCCTGCCCAAATCATCAAAGCTCTCCGAATCTTTTCTGAAGATTCGGAGAGCTTTGAATCAATTTAGACCTTTTAATTGATCCTGATTCATTTTGGATTTGGAGATTCGGCCACTGAATCAGGCTGAATCTCCTCCAAATCAAATCAGCACCCAAAGCTTCTCACAGCCCTACTGGCCGTGGCCTTGGATGTACATAGCTCCTGATATCTCTGGAGAATATTGGGCTTTGAGTTGTCCCAAGTTCAAATTCCATATTAGTCATTGAGGATAATAGAGTCTCTAGTACTTTTTTAAAAAAATGGAACAAAACACTACTTTGAACTGTCAAAAGGATTCAGTGGAAGACTGCTCTAAAAAGTATTCTCTGCAACAGATTTCTGAGTAAAATTTAAGCCACTTTTGTTTTTGTGGTGGACTTACCAATACAACCCGTCACGTCCGGGCTCAGAGAATCTCCAGTGTGATTGGTGGAGCCTGTCCACCAATCAGGTAATGGCAGGGAGGGGCTTGCACCACCCCTACCTGGGGCAAGTCAAAGAGCCCTGGACTTGGTTTAACCCTGCATTCTGAAGGTCCAGCAGAACTTCAGGGAGCAGAGCCTGCAAAAAGAATAAAAGGAGCTGCATAACCAGCACATGCCAGACACATCGGGGGATGAAGAAGAGAGTGGGGCAGCAGAGGAGCTGGAGACAAGTAGTCCAAAGGCCAGAGCCAGTACCCAGAAGAGCCCTGAAGAACTCCATGTGCCAATCCAATGCTCCAGCCCCAGTCAGTGTGCAGAGCGGTGCATAGGGCTCAGACCCTGGGAGGAAGAGGCTTGGGTCTGCAACCCCTGGTGTGCAGCCAGGGCTCCCAGTACACAGTATGGCGCACAGATCCAGCAAGACTCTGTGGGCCATCTGTAGTGGCTCAGGTTTATAACTCCTGGTATGTGGCTGGGAACCCAGTGCAGGAAATGCTGCATGGAGGGTCCAGGAGCAGACTGAGCCCCAGAGCCGCATAAGGTGGTCCAGGCCTCCAAGCCCAAGCAGAAGCCAAAGCCCCCATGAGCACACAACGATGCTTGAGGCTCTGAGTGGGGGTGGGAGCAGCCCACGAGGAACCAGAGGCCCAGGAGGCTTCTCCAAACAAGGAGCCACTCACCTGAGGAGATGAGGACCACCTACCTGGGTGCCAGATTCATGAGTTGCTGGGAAATAGGGTTCCCAGAGGGGAGGGGAGGTCCTTCCTGGCTAGAAAGGGGCTCCTGGAGGGGAGATCCAGGGAGGTCCCTTTTCTTGAGCTTGTAAGTTTCCTTGTGGGGTTTGGTATGAGGCCCTCACGGGTCACTGGAGTGTAGTCCCAGCCCCAGGAATGTCGCAGGGCCTTGGGGACCCATTTTTGCGCCTTATATTTTGTGATATAGCAACTTCTATTTTGTGACATTTCATTTTATGCTTTGTGATATTGTGCCCTGTGAATTGTGTGTTCTCGTATCAGTAAGAAAACGAACCTAATAGAATGTGAGAGTGTATAAACCATATTGAGGTCCTGCTGGGACCCCTCCCCATTACTTACCTGTGTTTACCAGTCACTTACCTGAACCCTGGTGGGATCATCCATTGTAGAGAACAAGGTTATTAGTTTTACATTATATGTAAATATTTAAATCTGTTTTTATATTAACAGTTATCTTTTGAAGGTTCCCTGTAAATATTAATAAATTTATATATAGTTAAGTTTCAGATTGTACTGGCCTGGCTCTATAGGGAACATTTCCCCCAGATTGGAAATGGACCAATCAAAGGGAAAGGGGTGTTAGTCCCCTCTCAGGTCCAGCTCTTTGCCTCACCCCAGAGTGGGGGTGGAGTAAGCCTCTCCTCTGCCTTCACCTGATTGGTGGGGGAAGGAGAAATACCCCACCAATCATTTAAAACTTTTCCAAAGCCAGTGCACCAGGCTGCCACCAGCAAACCCAACACACTAGAGTAAACTGATGTGATAAGAGTGTACCTGTAGGGTTACTGAATCACAAATCACAATCAATCAACAAGGCCCAAAGAGCTTTCAAAAGTCTTCCCTCAGTTCTTCTCTGCCCTACTATAAACAAGATCTAGGCCCTAAAAATCCTGAGAGGTATATTTCTGATACACAGCAGCAAGAACGTCACAGTGAAATAATGTAAGCAGATAAGCTTGTGCAATGAATTCTGATTGATTTTTTTGCTGAACTGGGGGCTTAGTAATGAATGTCCTTTAATCTTTCATAACCCTGGTGCTGGGCATGTCATTGATGATGGCATCGAATTCAGACTTCTTAAACGGTCCTGAAATAAAAATGAAGACATGCCCATTCGCTTAATGTGCTATTCCTGGCAGAGATGGAGGAAGTGGCCTGACTGAAGAAAAGAGAGACGAAGTTACAATGTTATAATCTTTTATCAAGACTTAATTGATTACATTTCACTCAGTCCATTTAGAGTTATCTTCTTATACCTCCTGCTTTCCCTCTGTGTTTTTTCTGTCTTCCTGAAACTGAAATGTACTATTCTTTTTCTAGTTCATTAGCCTCAGTTAACAAGTGGTGTGCATTTGTATACCATGCCTATTGCATCCTGCTAAAAACCTTCTGTGTCTCACTTTCTCCTCCTCATACGGAGGAGAAACCTGAAAGCTGCTCAACTGTCTTACTAAACTTCAAAAGATACTGTCTTACTAAACTTCAAAAGACTCTTTACAAGTGAAGGGACATCCTCGCATGGAGCAACTTGCATGATCAGAGTCTAAAAGAGCACTGTACATTTACATTAGTCATGTAGTTATACTTGGTTGGAATAAAAACATTGACTAACAATTTTCAAATCTTTATACAAAGTAGAGATGAAAGAGGCATTAGTCTAATTTATAGATCCCACTGTACCATCGTTTCATAAAATTTATTATTCAGTGATTTGTTCAGTTTACCTCTCAAGATCAGAAGTAGAGCTAGTCTGGCTTTCTTCCATTTTCTGATGGTAAATGCAGTTTCTATATTCTGCAAACACAGGAAAATTTAATTTTAGCTGATGAGGTTTCTGGGGGGGTTCTCTTTTCCTTTTTAATATTTTATTGGGGAAATAAATAGGGTTGGCAAGCCAGTCGATTGGCTGATAAAATACTGTCAGCTGACTGCATATGTTTAACCAAAGATTATAGCAATTTTACAAAAAAACCTATATTTTTATTCTAGTTTTCTTGACAGAAATATGATTTTTTTTGTTTGTTTTTTTACAGATTTCTTAATGGAAAATATGTGCTTTTTCTGTGTATTATTTGGACCTATTGACTATTTTTTACAGTTTTTGACCAATATTTGTCTGGTCAAATACCCAATCTTAGAAATAGGAACTAATGGTTACATTTTTTTATGACCAAACTGAAATATTTTTAAATGTAGAATTGATTTGTCTTGACATGTATTTTATGTGATTATTTGCTTTTGTCCTAATCTATAATATATAGGTATGCATTTATAATCCACATAATCATAATTGGCATTTCTCTCTATTTCTTAATTGTAAGGCTATGAACATACTTCTTTAGAGAGAGAATTGTACCGATGCTCAGCATTTGCGTGCTCCATACCAAGGCATAGCTGGTACATGTCTCTGGTCATGTTTATACTGCTTCCCTGGCACCAGGGAAAACAAGCCCCATCCCTTCACTCTCACACGTATAAGCCAGGGTCATATACTATATTTCTGGAGATATAGAAATGGAGCCTTGGTGTCTTTACAGCCTGTCTGACCAACCCAGCTCAGACTTCAAATACTGAATATTTCCCACAGTAACTTATTTGTTCAAGTCAAAAGAAAGCAAAATAACACATAGAGTAAATTTCAGTAAGAATTAAATGTAGGAAACAATGGTCAATCATCAAACAGAAAAGAAGCTAAATTTATCACACAAAATATTTGCTGTAAAATATTTCCTTAGTGTAACAAATTCTAGTTGTATCCCAACTATGCAGTTGGAGTTGGCTCAATAAAAGATATAACCCACATGAATCCTTGTCTAATATAGGGATCTAATACAGCCCTGAAACACCCGCCTCACATGAAAGTGTATGGTGTCTTAGTGTGAGTTGTAGATTTGGCTGTGTGAGAATTAAGCTACGCCCACAAAATAAATCACCATCTCTTGTTTTAATATGAACTTATATCTCACCCACCATGACTTTGATGGAATAAGATACAGAAATAAACGCAGTCCTGAGAGATGAGGAAGATATCGTGTCTGCGGTTCAACAAAAATAACTCTTCTGCACAACTATTGTGTCTCTCTTAGATAAGTAACATCTTGTATATATTTAGTTCCCTCTCTCTTTGAGAGCTCTCAATTTCTTGGTTGCTTGCCCCATTCTCCTCTGCATAGGTCCCAAGCAAAAAGCAATCCTAGGTCACCTTGTATTTACTACTGATATCAAAATTGTAGGGTTCTCTACTCTTCGTTAGTTTTCATCCACTCTCATTCCTTTCTTTTAATTTCAGGTCTCTGGGAAGTTACTCGATGTCTTCACGTATCAGACTCACTGACCCAAAGGCCTCCTTTGTTAACTCACTTCATCTTGCCAGGTAAGTCTCTCTCCAGGACCCTTCTTATATTCCCTTTCCTCTTGTAGTTCTCCCTGTTTCTTCTGAGTTGCTTTCTTCTCTTTTTCCAGCTAAATCTGCTTTAAAACCTTCCAGCCATCTGCTGTCTTTCTCAAAGCCAGCACTCTCTCCCCTTTCCCTTCGCACCTGCTGCTCTCTTCGTTTTTGTTTTCATCCGGGTCTCTCTCTCCCCAATCCAGGGAGCCCTGCCCCTTTTCCCTGGGACTGGGTGCTAAGGTAAGTTTTCTGCTTTCCTTCACTCCCCCTAAGTTCTGTGATGGGAGAGACTTGGTGCCCCATCACAGCCTATATTGTTATTTTCACTTCTAAAATATATTGTAAAGGCCTTTGAATTCAAAGGAATGCCAATCTGACATCCTCTTCTTTGCTTATTTTCTTATGTACCGCTGCTGACCTAATTCTGTTACTGAATCTTCAATTGTGCAATACTGCCAACCCCACCATGTCAAAAATCAAGAGACAAACTCTTAAAAATCAAGAGATTTGGTATGTAAATTATGAGATGCTCCATTTTAAGTCCCCCTCCCCACAGCTGCTCAAGCATGAACCCTGAGCAGCCTGCCCCCCCAGTTCTGGTCCTGGGCTTGGTGCTGACCTGGTGGGGCTCCATGCACCCCACCATGGCTGGGCCCTACCCAGGCTCTGCTCCCACCCGGGCTCCTGGGAACTTTGCAGCTGGTTCTGACCAAAAGAAAAAATCCTGAGATTTGAGAGTTCTGTCATGAGTCAGACTTAATTTTACTTAGAAATCAAGACTCTCATGATAAGTTCACGAGAGTTAGCATACTGTTGCTGGTTTGATACTGTGCACACTGATATCAGTCATCAAATAGCTGGCCCTGCACACAAGCACTGAACAAGAGGTTGAGAACGGTGTTAAAAGACATTTACATGGCTTTCTTTTTACCATAGTTAGGAGAAGGATTAAGAGGCCTACAGGGTTACTCTGAAAAAGCAGGACCTCCAGGATTAAAGGGACACCAAGAAACAAAATGTGAGAAAGAGCAAAAATGGGAAAATGCAAGTAAGAAAGCAAGTTTCTGGTGCTCCTGTATTCTGGTCTATACCTGTTGTCACACATTGTATGAGGAAATACTGGGAGAGGGTTATGGTAATTTTCAGTACTCTTGTTTCATTGTTCTGAGGAGACTGTGGAGAGCAAGAATGATAATAAACCTAAGGCGCTCTGTTGTACTGGAGAACTGCAGAAAAACAAAGTGGCAGTTAGAATATAACTGACATTTTGCCTTTTGTTGTTCTTCTTAACATTTTTGCTTTACTTTTGAGCCCACTGGCCCATTTTTGCTTTACTTCTCTGAAGTCTGTCCCCCTGGCATATTAATTCATGCATAGAACATCCATACCATATACACAGGATAGATCCAGAATGGACCAGGGTGGTGGTCCTAAAGGATTCAAAACCCAGATAGTTACTATAGGCAAGTATATAATCCTACTTCTGGAATAATTTTTAATTGGTAGAAATACACTTAAAATACCTTCTAATAAAAATCCCCAAAGTCTAGGAATTTCTCATACAGTGATGAATGTTTTGTTGGGGGAAGTAAAGTTGATTTGGTGTTCACTGATAGATAGGGCATTCTTAGCAATAATAGAATTATTGTGGACATGGTGGTATCCATTTGAAAATGATCTGAATTACAGAGATCTTTAAATTACATGGTCAGTAGGGCTGTGCATAGGACATTAAATGGTATCCAAGTGAGCCCAAGGGTAGGGGTGCAAAAAGTAGACATGCACTGGCAGGAGCTGGAACAACAAAACATATTATTCCAAGTGCCTCACAATTTGTGAATTTTAAGCCCTAAAATTCTCTGTTACTTGCAAATAAGAAGTTTTGTCCTGCCTATAAATAACATCTATGATTAGTCTATATGAGAAAAACAAAATCAATAATATCATGCTGTAATATTTTCCTTCCTTATACTGATTAAGGAAGTAGTAGCTACAAAGGGTGATTGTAGTACACTGTAGTGTATAGCACCATCTGGACAACCAAACTAATGACTGTCCACTACATACTGATGTGTTAATTATCTTAGTTTAATTAGTCATGAAAGATGCAGAACCTCAGATAAATTTATGTATACACCTTTGACATTCAGAGATCACATGGATTTGAACATGCACATAAAGAAGCATAGGAAAGGACTACATGAGATCATCTAGTCCAGCCCCACCCTACTGAAGGCAAGATCATCCCTGACTAAAAACATCCCGGTCAAGTGCTTTTCTAACCTACACTTGAAAATTTCCATGGATGGAGAGTCCATAACTTCTCTAGGTAACCTGTTCCAATGCTTGACCACCCTCATAGGCAGACAGTTCTTCCTAACCTCCAACCTAAATTTCCTCTGGTGCAAGTTGAGGCCATTATTCCTCAGCCTGTCCCCTGCAGCCACAAAGAAAGGCTATCTTCATCCTCTTTATAGTAATTTGTGCTTGTCACTGTCAGAACAAGAAATAGAACCTGAGATGAAATCCAATCCTTTGGACATTAAGGGTGCATCCAGACAAGCGCACACATGCCACTTGCCCCATCTCAAACGCCTTTGAGATGGGGCAAAAGGCATGTGTGGGAATGAAAAAATGTTCCCCGTGCTGCAAACTTGCAGCGCAGGGAGAAAATTAGACCCCAGGGGGGCTCTGCCAGGAGGCCCTAGAGCCCCCCCAACCCCTGCTTCTAAAGTAAGTAGAGGGTTTTTTCCTTTTTTTTTTGTTATTATGATGGTGCCTGGGGTTGGGGGGGCAGCCATGGGGGCCTCAGGGTGAAAGTGGGGGATGGAGCGAGGCGGGACAGCCATTGGGAGGGTCTGGGGAGAGGGGGGTGGGG